CGGAGGAACCCTGATTCGCACGTGTGACAACCGTTCAAATATTAATTTTCCCGGTTTAATAAGTTTGCAATCAGTTTTTATTACAAGTTTGGATCCATGTAAGTTACGCAATCAAGTGTACTTGCGTTCACAGAGGTAGCTCTCCGTACGCTCAGCATATGATATCGTTGTACGTACTTATCACTTACCTATAACAGACGAAGTTTTAGTAAACGTGTAGGCATACCTAAGCTGTTTAGGCTTATATAGAGGCTCTGAACTAGAAATCTAGCCACATTATAGAGTTAGACGATTTAAATGTCTTGTATTTAAGTGCTTTTTTTTGACGTAATTGATGTAAAAGTTAACAAGAGGCTTCTCTGCAGCATTTCCATTCTTGAATCAAATCCGTCGCGGCATAACGAACTCTGTTTTTGTTCATCGACATTGCATGTAACGCATGTAGAAGAAGAAGAAGAAGAATGGTTTAACAGGGATACAGGACAAATACCTCCGCTGGAGGCCAGGTATGTCGTCAGTGACGTGATATACTTTGACGATCTGTGTGTTCGACTGATCCAACTTCCATCCGACAGAACGCTGCCTACATTCCTCGGAAGCTCAATGTGCTTTTTGCCAATCCGAGCAACTGCTTCCCATAGTCAAAAGTTACTTCAACCACTTGCACATTTATACTGCTAAAGAGAAAATGTTCCATTATTATTTTCAAGATTATGATACTTGGAGGAATTCCATGGAACCGTTCGTCCCCATGTCGTTAATTGATATATAAATGTAATAATGTAACTTTTGAATACATATTGAGAAAAATAACATTTTAAACGACTTTTCCTTTTTGTTTGGGCTAAAGACATAAGAAACTAGCCTCCCGGCAATTTAATTATCTATCTTTAAAATGTTCCATTGATTGATTCAGGCAAACTTTGATTCAAATAGATTGAAATAGCAAAGTCCTTTCGTTAAATATCAAGTGTAACAGTTCGTTATCCTTGTAGAACTAACTAAATATACTGATTGTTTAAAGATAATAAAATTAACATTAAAACACTCTTAACTGTCGCAGTTAGCGGCAAATGCCTAAAGATGGCGATATACTGCCAGTTAGTTTAAATTTCACTTACATCTGGATTTGCAAGTTGTAAATGAAGCAGATGCGTACATTTTAGTTGCCAGTATGTTATAAGTAAAAAGTAACATAATCGTTACGTTTATTATCATTTGTGGCAGCAATCAAATCACACCAAACTTCACTGCCTGCGTCGTAAATGTCTTGTCTAAATTACCAATGTCAGTTTGTCGTAAAATTGGAGTCAATTACCTTCCAGTAGTTTAAATTATAGCAGTTGTGAATAAGCTTATATGCAGTAAAGTAGATGTTTATGTGTGAACCGGCGTCTTTTAAGTTGTTAAAGGCGAAATGTAAAATATGCCGAGAAACTTGCGTTCAAAGGAGCTGCGAATGTTTTACAACTTGCTCAAAATGTGCATAAATATTTTTTATCGCCCAAGGCTAACCGTTTAAAACTCAATTTGTTTTGAAGCTGTGCTATTAATTCGTGCTTAAAAATTCACAGTTATGACGAGTGTGTTGAGAAGCTGTAACATTTGCTTGACATTTGCCTAATGGAACGGGCACAGCTCGCCGGTATCCGAGCTTTTTTCGCTGCTTTGATCTTCGTCCGTCGCATTGAAAATAACAAAAAAAAAACGAAAATAACTTAGTTGCAACTAATTCTTACACCTATACAGGGAATCCCAGAAGTAGTGTCGAGTAAACGTAGGAACGTACAGAACCTCAAGGACTATCTGGAACATCCCTCGTGGACGACAATAATTAACTTTACTTTTCTAGCGTGAATTTTGTTTCAGTGTGTGAGCTCAAACAATAAACTGCCTCAAACGCTGTTCGATAATTGATAATCCCTCATAGTGCTCATATTGACTGTATCAATGAGAATTTAATATTTAAAAATCATTGAGAAATATGCTAGACAAAAAAAAACAACCAAGTCACTCCATAAGTGTTGAATATGCATATAGAAGAGGCAGTTAAATTTTGTTATTAGGTGCTGTACAACGAACGAAAGTTATCAATGTAGAAATAGCGTAGTTTTGAATCGGCGCTTATAACAGGGTGGCTTCTGTGGGAACCGTTCCATCGCCTTATAAATCAAATGCTCGTTAACGCCGGTGCCCTCCCACTCGGCCACGGCAGCAAAAGGACGAGTTGAAAAAAGAAAAATCGAGCTGTTGGTTGTGTTGTTTGCTGCATGAATCAAAGGCGGCTCGCCGTTGTTGTTTTGGCGGCGGCATCAGTTCTGTCAACGCGATAACTGGTCCATGTAATTTGACGCTAGATTCCGAACGGGTCGCGGTTAGTTAATGAAAAGCTAAGCGTCTTAACTTATTAGCAATTTTGCTTGACTTAAGGCAAAGACAGACTGGGACCAGAGCACGATCGACGGCGGCGACGGGATGACTCGGTGGCCTTTTAATTGGGTTATATTTGCACATAAAGAACAACGATGAGTAAAGGACCGTACTCAATAATTTTTCTATCCCTATTAGAGCGCATTTTGAGATTTCCAAACTGGTGGTCAGCTTCTTTTGCATGGGACAAAGGTGGGACCTCACCGTTGTAGACTTTACACGCCCCATATAACTCAGGACGCTTTGAGTTCTCTGATAAAATATAAGTACATGCACCAAGAGAGGAAAAATAAAGAATGCTTTCATTTTCTTCCGTTTTTACCACCGCTAAAATGGACTAGGATTTTCAACGCATGCTCATGGTTAACCCATGCCTTAAGTGTTTCATTTTATTTGACAATTTTACAGTGCATTTCACACTTGTATTATTGGACTATTGGTTGTAGATTTTTATTCCGATAAGTAAACAGCAAATACCTAAACAGAATTGAAGCAAACGATGAAAATTAGTGTTTTTGTATATCAGAGCAGTTTACGTCCTTCCATTTACAGTATTTTACTTTTTATTATTGATTGGCTTTTAGCCAAATTGGATGTTACCGAATACATATCTATGTATTTTGTAAGTCCAAATTATGTTTATGTATTCTTTCTTTATTGTATTACACGGTAATATTCCACTTTCTCTCCTCCAGGAGCCAATATTTCTCAAAATTTAAAAATAGATTTCCAACAGCTTTCCACACCAACACTTTTTGTGTATTTGTTTAAAGAGCTGCTCAGGATGTTTTCTCTGGTTATAAAACTCGTTCTCTTTGTTTGAAGATGCAACATTTACCGGTAATTAAGACTTTAAAAATAAAACCAACGACCTCCGTATACGTACAAACAAATACATGTTTCGGCAATCACAAGACACGAATGTAATAATAGCTGTGTAATGTTGATGTCTTTGCATCTTTTCCATAGGAGGTGCCGTATTTATCCTTCAATAATGCCTCCATACACATACCACAACAGCCAAACACTTATACATATGTATACATACATACATACATACATACATGTATATTGGCTTTCACTGTTCATTAATAGCAGATACTACGGCGGAAATAAGGTCATTGCTAAAATTACCCTTCTGCTATAAAATGATTTCTTCTACATGGAAATGTTGAATCATTCATTATTTTTTTAACTTTTATTCCTCCACAAATAAACACAACATAAGTGCATAATAATAGGGAACAACTGTCTTGTAGTTTATCTAATTTTCATTATCTGGGGAGAAATTGGTCGTAGAATATAAATAACGAAGTCACATAGTTTCCATACTTTTTATTAGAAAACTTGGCAATTGCTGCGCTATACACCGTGGCTTCACTAGAATTCTCAAAATGAATTTCAACTAACGTAAGGTGGTGACATAGTTTTATATTAATAGTACCAATAGGATCCAGCTTTAAGAAGGCAAGAAAAAGATTGAGTTTTTTCGATTGCTTAACATAGTTTCGAGAAATACTGGTAGATATGTGCTGTATGGCGCTCTATAATAATGACCAATCAGTTCCTAATCGTGTCTCCAAAAGATACTGAAATTAGAAATATGGATAGGTCCTAGGTTTGCTTTCATTTATTTTTGTTGTGAAAAATTTGCAATATCGGTATAGGTAATTAAAATAAATAAACATACTTTACGTCTAATTTTAGAAATGCTCCAACAAAAATATGTATGCATAAGAAGTAAAGTTATTCAAAAATCTACCTTTTGATAAAGCTTTCACTTGTCCCTATATTGGCTTCGGATCACATTTAACAGTAAAGCATCTGTAAACGGCGACACACTGTCACTTATTTGATATATGAATATATAAATAGGAGTAAGTAGATTATTTGGTGTAAAGGCCAAGAGATACAATGCATCCCCTTCAAACAGAATTAAATCAGCGTAATCTTTATCCACAATAGACGAGTGCGATCCTGTAAAATGTTTAGCCGTAGGCACCTATCAGGATGTTTCTTGTATAATTACATGCGTGTTAATAGTTAAAACAAGGATATTTTGGTATTGCGGATTGGGATCAAAGAACCCAGCCAGACATTCCGGTACCGCTACGGTGGTCCATCAGTTCGCGACCTACCTACGTGCAAGCTCCACACTCAGCTCGTACTAAAACGCACACACGTCCATATTGCCTATTGTTGTGTATGTATTTGCAGAGCGCTTACTTATGTGGCCAAAACCCACATTTCGCTTAATTAGATACCGTAACTCTGCAATCGTGTACAAATTAATGATGTCACAATTTAAATCGTTTTTGGACAAATTAGAAAAAGAAGCAAACGAAAAATGAAGGCGATACAGTAAGATGAGAATAAAATCGTATTTTTTAGTCGGTTGTTAGAAATGCTAGACGCAATAGGCATGAAGCATATAACATGGCATCAATCACATTTTACAGACATAACTTCCAATTTTTGAAATTCTTGTCGAGGCTCTGATCATTTAGATAAGGATTAGGAAATAACGATGGTTAAAGCACATGTTGGTTCCACAGTTTCGTACTTACCTTGTTGTAAATGCTTTTACGAAAATACTTGTTACTCGTTTTTTTAGTTTTTCATACTTAGGACTCATTAGCAACTAAACGTAAATATACCTCAAAGGTACAGCTTTAAGTTCTGACGTCACTAGTTGGTGTAACGTTTAAATACCTCAAACACAAAAGTCACTTTCGGAATAGATAACCAACCTAAGCGTGGTGGTAACTAATGCAATGCAATGTAAAGCACTAATGAAGCGACGCAAGACGACGCTGAACGTCCTCGTCCACGTCTCTCGTCATTGCTTTCAAGCGTGCGTCCGTCAAATGATAACGATGCTGCCTGTTCTACTGACGATACAATCTTAAATGTTATGTTTGTTTTTTTTTAAATGCTCCCACATGTGAGCCGCGATATGTAATAAATTACGGACGTTTTGGAGTAACTTGGTTGATTGCCAGTAAGAGTTGTAAGAGCGCGCGAATTGGTTAGTTTCGGTTCGGGTTGTGTTTATAGTGGTGCGAAATTATGTGACCGAATTATGAATACTGCAGACAGTTGTACAAGAACTGCTACAGTAAGTAAACATACCATTTGATACGAATCATTACGTTTTATTTAATGCCTGCCTATTTTGTGAGATTATCTGTAATTTGTAACGCGCAACTAACCTCCGCCAGAGCAGCTGACTTTGTTTTTGAGAAATGGCTTACACTTTAATCCGAAATAAATACAATATTGTTATTAATTTTTTCCTTTACATACAGATCAAAAAGCTTGCTCTGCAGTACACAATAAAAACGTGTTTGGTTTTGAAAATTCAAGACATGATTCAACGCATGCTTAGGTCATGTTTCGAATTAGTTCTTTATTCCCTGTCTTAATGAATCAAATCTTCAAAAATAGTCTGTATCTTGTACACTCCCGTGATTGAATTTATCTAAAATAGGATTATAATGAATTATTCACATCATGTTGAAACGATCACAACTTTTTCTTATTTAAAAGAAGGAATTTCTCTTTCAAAGGTTTCACTGCTGCGATTTCCTGCACGGCGTTTTCATTGGTGACATGATTTATTTTGTCTGTACTGCGGTTCTGTAAGGGTGTAAAACATGGACGGTGAGGGCGGCGGAAAAGGAAATTTTACAATGTTTGAAATGTGGTGTTACAGGCGAATGATGTGGATTCCGTGGATAGAGAAGGTTAGAAATGAGGAGATGTTAGAAAGAGTAGGAATACAGAAGACGCTATAGAAATCAATAAGAAATAGGCAAGATAGGTTGGTAGGACACCTTTTCAGGCATGAAGGGGTAGCTAGAGACATATCAGAGGCATAAACAGGGGTTAAGAGGAGTAGAAGTACATCTACATTAGATTATTGTTCATAAATACTTAAGGATGTGAGTTGCTCTAGTTAGACTCAGGATAGGAAAGAGTGGAGGTGCGGGTCCAACTAGTTTAGGGACTGACCCTATGATAACGATCAATCGGTTTCCTTTTTATGTCTGGCAAATGAAAACGAGTGTTAACATTTAATGATGGTATTAGTATTAGTTAGGAAAAGTATCCTTAAACTATAAATTTATTTTGAGCTAATCCAGTATCTAAAATTAGGCGTCTTTTTGCACTTTAAAAATATGTTTCATTAAAAATTAAATGTAGCTGATTTGATGTCCGTCGAAGTCGTATTTTTTTATGGCAACAGTTTGTAGTCCTTTGGCACAAAATTAGACAACTACCTTCTGTGCATAGGTACTCTACCAATGTAATGCATGAGAAAACAATACAATAAGAAAATATTGAGGCGGTTGTCTACTGTTTTCTAACTACTGACTAATAGATAGGTATCCAAGTATAAAAAATGAGAAGAGATCCAGAATAAATTCTAAACTGTTCTGAAACCAATTGGCAATTCCAGCATTTTTTTGCTAAATGATATTTGTAAATTTCTTAGGTATGTTTTAACTTATATAAGTAAATATTTCGTTTGCTCGACACTCGATAAAAGGAACCTTGGAAAGCAACTATTTTAAACATTTTTGGCAAACGCAATACGTTTAGAGTTGTCTATGATAATGACCTTCGTTCGAGCATTTTTTTGATGAATGTCAGTATATGAGTGTTATTTTCAGTTTTAAAAGATGTTCTGGGGTTTTGGCCTCATTCGATCATTTTACAGTTTTCAGACTTACTACCGGGTTTGCATGTTTCTATAGCCTATGTATTATAACCGAATTAGATTGCGAGACATTCGTGAAAACTCCTAACAAGGAAGTACTGAACGAAAGGTAGACTCACAGAAGGCTTGGGAACCATCACCTAGAGTACAAGGGAGAAGTGCTAAAATGTCACGTCATTTAGCTTGTCTCTGTTCAGGTATAAAAAAGGGCTTAGTGCATAAACAGGGTTGACATACGTCATTTTTTATAAAAACAGAAAGATACGTTTGGCATGTTTGAACACAATCACCGCAAACCGGCCTCCCTACTTTAGATTCATTGATGATATGTCGATGACTTCGATATTTAATTTCTAGGCCTTGTACGTTAGGTGGTGTTATCTGCAGTAATTCATTGAAGTTAATACACCGCTCAATGTTTCTGAATTGTTAAATTGTTTTAAAAAATTGATCTACCTACGCCAATTCTACTTGACTAGCTGGAGCAATTGTTGCTTGAGAAACAATAACAAGTTATCCGGTAAAAACTTTTTGTTTTTTATGCGCTTATACCGTTTAACGGCCGTCAATGGCTATTTGTAAATTAATTGTCGTTTTACTGTCTGTTTACAACTGATTTTCTGGCAGGATATACAAACAGAGCGGTCAGATGCTCCATGATTCATTTTTGCGGTCATGCCGGTGGTAGTAAAAATGTCGATTTTAATCAAAACCTTACCGTCATGTTTTTCTTTTAGTTATGTCTACTGATGGAATCGTCAGTTGCGTATAAAGAACAGAGCCACATTTAAGTTGGAGAAGAGAAGATGAGTAACTGGACAGATTCTGACCAGATTTTTCTGAAAATGTACCTACTCTTGTGATAACAAAATTGAAACTGTAAAGGAAAGCAAAAATGTTACGTACCTATCTTTGAAAACAGATCCAATTTTTTACCATCATTGTCCGAAGACTTGGACACACACTTCCACTCCATCTCATCCAGAGCCAATCTTCTAATTTCCTGAAAACTTGAATATCCCACATCCCTAACTATTTGTAAACAGTAATGTATTCTCTTCTTCAACTGTCTCTCTTCACTTTTGTTTCTGCTTCTAGTGTATGTCCAACTGGCTCTTCACATCTTGATACACCATATTTGAAATCTCTAATTTTTCCTTTTTCGCTACGCTCACCGCCCATGTTTCGTACCCTTACAGAGCCGTGCTCTTTGGAAAGATCATTTTCATAAGACAATCATGATAACATGAGGAATTTTGTCGACGCAACTGATAATGACAAACGTGACAAACATGGATAAGTACAAGCAAAGCAGCAAAGACAGCTTGTACTTTTTTCAATCCCTACTCCTTTTAGTTGAGCTTAAATTGTTAATTTTGTTAGTCGTTACCTTTTGGACTATACCTTGTACTTCGGAAATCCATTAATTGTGTCCATCTTTCTTGTTGTAGGAAGAAATAAAATTGGAAGTTGTCAATAATGACTGTACTAGTGAAGAAACAATTAAAAAAGAAACCAAAATATCGCCTGTGATATCCTTCTTTAGAAAATGTAAGTATTCTATAATCCAAGGAAAATTTAAATGTGGCACTATTTATGTAGAAAGAAAAAAATCTTTTCATTTGAAAAATTATTTTCAGTTAGAAGAAAAGAAGCACCTAGTAAAAAGTGCTTGGTGGAAGATGCGGATCCTATGGTACAGTTTTATATAAGTAAGTGAATTCCATACTTATTCTTTCTGCTTTTATCTTTGTCATACTAATATTACAAAAAAGGTAAATTTTGTTTTTGTTTATTTGTGTGTAGGTAGTAGATAATCTGTGGAACTGCTGAACTGATTCTAAAAATTCTTCAACTAACAAAGAGCTACGTTATTTCCGAGTAATATGGGATATATTTTATTTTAATAAAATTAATTTTTAAATTCGAAATGCCAATATTTGCAAATCAAATACGCTGCTTGGCTAATTTATCGGAGGGGCGCTGACCAAATAGTTGGCGTATGCATCTATGCAGAGAAGTATCGATGTGATGTCCTAATTATTTTCCTAGAGAAGTTAGTCCTTTACATTTAGATTTAAAAATCTGGCGTTATGTCTTTGTATTTCTTATTGTTTAATAAAATGCTAAAAGGTTAATTTCAACAGTACGTACAATTATTGTCTATCAAAAATGCACGGTTCACAGGTTTTATTTATAAAAGCTTAAAACAAATTCTTTCATTATTTTTTTGTTTATGCCCATCCAAACTTTTTCAAAATCAATGGAATATATCATGGCTCGACATCTGCTGTCTATTCAGTAAACACTATGAAAGCTGTTCCTCTATATGCGTACAACAACACGCTCACGACTGCCGAAGCTTCGTAAAGGCGAGTGTTCGGTAGATGTCATGACATTGTAGAGTTTAAAAAATTAAAGCGGCTCAAAATTTCGTAAAGTAATTAACAAAGAGGTATTGGAAGCGTACTGATCTACTAAAAGTACCAACAATTTCGGGATGCTTTATTCGACTAGTAATAACTAATTAGTTCTCCTAATAAAAATGTTCATTTTGATTCTCCCGATGTATGTAATTATTAATCAGTTTTCCACGTCGTTCGGAACATTAATTCTTATGGGAATTAGATGAATAGAATAAATTATGGGTATGTACTTAAGACAACAGTATTTTCATAAAAAATGATGTCTTACAATATTTATAATTCTACTAATGAAACGCACGGTTTATAGGGTTTGTTAATTAAAATTTTCTATTTCTACATTCGAATTTTTGCGTTAGTTTATTTTCAGGACCATGAATAAATGATTATCTTGATTTTTTTTTATTTACGTTACCACAGGTGGCCATCTACCCCTGTAGTTGCTCTAGCGGGGCAGGGTGGTGATATGCAAACGCAATTACACCGCTTTGCCGTAGGGATTAATTTCACACGAACTGAACTCTAATCCCGTTTTCGCGGATTACGATAATGGAAAATATTCGTTTTAAATTACAACCATACCTAGCTACGTCTGTATCCGTTAAGACTCTGTGCCTATCACTACTGCTCCTGTATTGGGATAGTTTTAAAAATAAATAAAAGCTAGCAACTTCTGTTTTTATTGCAAAAATTATGCAGATATTTAGATTATAGTATCTACCTGATAAAAAAAGAATATTATCGAAAGATAGCAAAAGTCAAATCGCCTAGCTCCAAAAACTGTCAAATAAAATAGGCCTAGAAATCAGTCTCTTTTGAGAAGGCAAAATACACCGCTAACATCAAAATAGCACCCAAGTGGATGACCATGAAGCGAGAGTAGGGAGAAATTTAAATATCTGGTAGAGTTGATAGAAAACAATTTAACAGAAAAAGAAGTAATGAAGTCGAAAATCAATGACATGAATTTAGCGTACATACTAACCATGGACATCTACAATAACGGGAAGATCTCGACCAACACAAAACTAACACATTACCAGACAGTAATCCGTTCTGAAACCTTTGGTTCATCACCAGAGGACGAGTTATTCCGTTTATGAGTTATATTTCAAAATGGAAAAGATCTCAGACACTAACTGAAACAGGAGAGCTATTTTCTTTAGACATACCTGCCTATAGAACGGAACCAGAAAGATTAACCAGACAGATAGGGATGTTCTTTAAGACCAAGAAGTCAAAAGTATGCTGGCACCATAAAGTAAAAAAGACCTGGAAGAAATGGGAATAAAAGCAGTGGATATCGGTCATAGACAAGCATAAAGACATGTAATCAAGTAAATGAAGGGCGTCAGAGGCAAATTAGACTTCTCAAACTCAAACATCGTCGATGGAGCAAAGGAGGAAAATGGAGAGTGGAAACATGAGGATGGCTAGGTGAAGGGCAAAGTCCAAAACTCGCTGAAATCGAACTAGCGTGGCCCAAAGACGGTCTAAACGAACAACGTGGGAATTAATAATGTAGGTACTTAAATGCATATAGATAATTTTGAATCTCCATAAGCAATAATAAATAGAGAACAAGAAATTAATTTTTTTTCTACATCTTAAAGCATTTGTTGGTTATTTTTTGTTATTCTATGTCTACGATTTCCATTGATGTAGAAAGACTGCCACCTACCAGTTAAATTTGATGTTCTACATTCGAAGCAAATATGTTTATAGATGTATGCAAACACGAATCTTTGAATAAAACGATAACGTTTCATTGTCATGTCGACGTTCAAAACTACTTAAGATTCTTCCAAGTGTAAAGAGTCGCGAGACGCGCGTTGTTAAATGCACCATCCATAATGCAGTACAGATGTTGGCCTTGGATCCGTCACAGAAGCCATAACATAAGATATGGTTACTAGGAGACGAGAATCTCTGTATAAAACGTTTATTTGGGCCATTGTCTCTGAATGTGATTCAAAGTTATTATTATAGGTATTAGAATATTCTGGTAAAGTTTTACAACTGTTGGAGTAAAGCGCAAGTTTTTCTTATCCGGAAAGAGATCAGTCGTTAAAATAGAACCGTAGATACTTGAAGGAAAATAGTCCTTGTGATGGAAGACAAGGATAATGAAGAGTACCTACCTACTTTCGTATAATAATTATATCGGCAGTAAATTGTTATGTTTTTTTGCAACGAAAATGTGTTTTCGCTATTACCAAAACAGTTTAGTATAACATGTAAAGTCTTGCGATAATATAATAAGGTGAAGGTAAGTCTCGGTTATATTCCTTTAGATTCAGTTTTGGTTTCACTCCGATAAATTTTACTGAAATGTTTCACTCGACGATCCTTTTGATGCTATTTGAACCGTAACAAACGGATTTGTGGAGTTTATATACTGCAAAGTGATGGACGGAGGTGGCGAGGATCAGTGCCGACTGAAATTCAACAGCGCGAACAAGGCATATTATCATAATCGCGCGCCCAAAATGTAAAGAGGGCTCAAGCTTTAATATTCCTTTAAAATGCAAATTGAGGTATAAAAAAGCCATTAGTTGCTAAAATAAAAAACAATATTCAAAATTAAAATTTATCGAAACCAGCGTATGTGGATCATAAATTCATCATACTTTCGATATTTTACCGATCAAACCGAAGTTGCTCCATGCAAGCAAGTTGATTAACATCATGTTAATATGAATGTATATTCCCGTCTGTAGGCATTTACTACAAAATGTAGTATTTCGAATTCAAGTAATACCTTATCAATCACCATGAAATACTACGAAACTGTATTTCACGTCTTCATTAACATAGACTGCTTTAGAGACATAATTTAAAACTATATAATGTTTGTTGTTTTCTTATTCCGTTAGAGGGTTTATCTTTATTTGGATTTCATACGTATTGTTCTCCGACACCCCATTCAAGGTTAGTGGGTAAGCGCTAGCAGCCGAGCTCAATTCTAATTACTGCAAATTATTTGAGGAATTGTTCGAGTCTTTACTGCTTCGGAAATTCTGGTATGGACAGGATTATTGAATATCCTTCGGCGAACCTACACTGGCTCTCTACGTTCCCTTTCTCCATATCAAGTTGCTTTAATAAATTTTCATCGCATCAAAGGATTCAGATGCAATTAAATATTGTTTTGGTCGTATATATTAGATGCATAACGTGCGCTATTTTCTTATGCTTAGTTATTACTCATAACCTACTCTATAATGCATATTTATAAAGAAAGAACAACGGATAAAACAACAAACAATTAGCAAAAACGGAACAAATAAGGAAGGCATTATCAGAAACGTAAATTAATGTGTATTTCATTTTTTGTTTGTGATTTTTTTTAATTTGGCAGTTGTGTGTTTAATATTATTGTTCTTTTGAAATACAAACAAATAATTACTTTTATTATACATTTTTGATTACTAACATAAAAATAGAAGTCAGAGCTATTATTATTTCTTTTTAATTTTTGGTGGAGGAACCTGGCATAAATTGTCGTATACTTCTTCAATCTTTCGGAAAAAAGTTCTGTTTTCTTGTTTATAATGGAAAAGCTTTAGCACCGAAGCAGAAAGAAGAAGTTTAAGTAGCTTTTCCACGCGTTAACAATAACGTGCGATTGAAAATATAACACGCACGAGTTGACTACTTTTTAGCTGTCAAGAAAAAGCTCTCTCAAATTGTTTTTTAAAGCTGACGCGCGTTCTGTCGCCACAACCGCAACTGTTTTTATCATATTTTAATTTGTTTTGTCTTTTATACGTCGTTGTTTCATTTTTTCTTCCTCGTGCCTGTAATTCCCTCAAAGATATGAAATGTGTTGTATTAGAAATTGAAAGGTAGATAAATATTTAAATAAAACAAGAATATTTAAACGATAATGTATAATACAATATACTGCACAATTGTTTCGATCTATTCGGTCATTACTTTAAAGAGTATAGTAAATGTTAGTATAGATAAATAGATTAGAGGAAGTTATAAGTGAAATAAAAAAAAAATAAAAAAAACAGCTAATGGAAGAACATTTGACTTGGGTTCAGATAAAACGGAACGTAGGGACTTTTACGGCAAGGCAAGGACGAACCCTTGTTAGTTTCACACCTTTTGAAAAAAGTCTATGGAATAGCCACCTAAATATTCAAACTAAATAATGAATAAATAAACAAATATACGTACAATGGGGAAAATTACCTTTCGATCAGAATACTGTTATATACTCGTACGTTGATAATAGTCTTTCTTACATTATTTCCAACGACAATCCGGCGACCATTCGT